TCTAAGAGGCATGCCAAAGTATGGTCTAGCCATCTCTCTACTTCTTATGCTGACGTGTATGTGGCTGTTGACCTAGTTATCGTTGCCTCAGTATAAACTCAGTCATGATTATGATAAATCCTTTTACCTAGGAGAACTTGGAGCAATGAAAGCTCTATCTACACTGTTAGGCAAATTCATCCATTCACAAGTTTTGTTTCCTGAGATCTTGTGGGCACTGTAAAGATGAAGTCGAATTTTGTATTCGTTCAAGAATTGTCTCTCTGCATGTGCTATGAAAGTTGTGGATATTGTAGTTTGGTAGTGTAGCCATCATAATTTAAAGGTATGTAAGTGCAACTTCTGTGGAATGGCAATAGAAGCCTTTTCACATATTTTGTTTAAAGGAGCCATAAAGTAGCTTTCTAAGGAACCAGTTGCACTTCAGTTTCATGTGAAGTGGCCATATATCCTGGGACAGCCCAGCAGACAGTATTTTTGAGTAAATTATCTAGTTGATACTCCTACTATCTTTTGAAAACAGAAGGGAGACAAAATGCACACCTCACCTTCACTTTTCACAATACAGAATCAGTTTCTTGAGCGATTCCATCAAACTCGAGTTGTGCTAAAACAATCCAGATGAATAACTTCTGATGCTTCTAAGTAAGATTTATCTATTTATTTATGTCTCAGATCGGGATATCATTAAAGTACTCTGAAAAAAACAGTTGTCAGGAAGAAGATATTTCTTACTCTCAATGTACGTATCTATAAGAAAATGTAAGTTCTGAGTTTGATCATTTCCAGCACTCCTAGTACCATCTTAGGCAACACTGGAAAGAATATGTTGTTTTTCTGTGTCTCTGATAAGAGACTTGATGACTGAAATTGAGGCATGTGGTCTTTTTGTACCAGTTCCAATAGTGCAAATAGTTTTAGCTTCTGCTGTGATTACAGATCAAACACTTAGTTGCGAAGCAGCATATAATGCTGTGTAAGGCATGAGGTCTGTTGCCTTTTCTAATGTGGAAAACCTGAAACAATTCTTGAAGGGGGAAACTTTAAACTTTTTCATATTTTAGTTTCAAAGCCTTTTCCACATAGGAAAGGAGGACATTTAAAACTGCATTTAGTTAAACTATTACAAACCTTTTCTAATAATTTAGGACTACCTTGAAAAAGCTTTGTAGGTTTAAACCTACAAAGGTTTTTAAACTATTTAAATCTATTTGACACCAGACTCAATTAAACTGATTGTATCTTCCTTATGTAAACAAAGTCCCTGCAGTGACAGTCTTGACCCTTCCCGGTATTCTTTTCTTTTTTTTTTTTTTTTTGAGTATTGCTGTAAGTCCTGAAAAACTTTGTGAGGTCTTAATTTCGTTAAAGAATTGAATTGGCCTTGATTGTTTGAAGAAGTCTGGGGCAGTTTCAATACAGGATATTTAAAGCTGCTTCCTATCAGAAGACAACAATCAAACTTGAAAAAAAATCATTCGGAGAACTGATGAAAGATCTTCCTTATTCTCAAGTGCCTCTCTATCATTTTGGCTCTTGTAATGCCATTGTCTTGCTGAGTGTCTAGGCCAAACACTAGGGATTTGAACTTACGATTCTGAAAGTCTTCTTAGAATCAGCAAGCAATCATACGTCCTCCTTTTTATGTCAAAAGGGGGAACAGGATTGTCTGTGATTTGTGACTAAAGGTGTCTTAGGAGATCTATTATAACATTTCAGAAAAATTATTAAAGTGAAAAAAAAAGAGCCTATTCATTTACAGTAGTCAAATTACTGCATTGGGATTGGGGCTGAATTGCTTTCATTTCTTGGGTTCAGCTAACTTCATTAGTGGTGATCTACTAATGAGTTTTTACTGGTTCAGTCTGTAACAAAGTAACTCAAGAATTTGTGTGGTAGTGACTAAAATTTTGGGCTGATCATATAATAGGGAGAGAGAGAAGTGAACTGTCCTATCATCTTGTTCATTGCCACTGACTTAAGAAGATGAGATTTGTGGTGGAAGTTTTATACAGTATTTCTATGAAATCTCTCTCAATTTTTTTCAACGAGATCTTGAGAAATCCTATCTGCTTGGTAGTCTTCTGCCAGAGGTATGAGTGTTTTTCCTATTCAGAACTGCTTTTGAGTGTTTTCATTAAAATGAGTTAATTCCTGACTCTGAGAATGAGATTAGAAACTGAAAAAAAATGAAGAGAAAACTGAATTCACTCTGTTTTAAGCAAAGTGGAAATGACGTGAAAATACTGTTTCTGGATGAATTCATCTAAACTGCTGCCTCGTGATATTAGCATAATAAAGTCATTTAGAGACTGTTAACTGCTTCAATTTACCATATGAATGATGCAGCACTCCTGTTTTGCAAATCCTGCATTTTTTGTGCGTTTGTACACTGGTTTAACTTGCTGTTCGCATGCTTGTACTTGCCATGCTGGAAAGTTTGTCATGAAAGAAAGCACTTGAATCGTGAGGATATTTAAAGTCCCCTAGGGGATAGAAAGCAGAGCCTTGCCCAGGGACATAACAGTTTGGTCAGCAATGGAAATGGCACAGGTCTGTGCATGGATTCAGATTATATTGTGTGTCACATGTCTGACTTAGTGGCTTTTGGAGTCCAGCAGAGGTAGGTAGGATAGAGTTTTAATAGAATATACTTGCTAATAAGTACATGTGATGCTCGGTGGGCAGGAGAAGCAGTAAGCCTAGGAGCTTAGAAGCTGCTATCAGATCTCGTTGCTGTGGAGAATCCTGGGAGAAGTTTAGGAAAGTTTGGGGAAGATTTGCCCTTTAATGGGAAATTTTAAATAATTAGTTTTTAATAACTACAGAATAAAAATATATGGAAAACTATGCTTAACTTCCTCAATATCTTACTGGACTACCGTGCATTGAGGTGAGATGTTCACTTGGGCCAGCTAACCCAGAGTTAGTCCTTGCAGGGACAGTTTGTGGACTGTTGAGTATCTGGTCCTGCCTGCTCCTGGGTTGGATTACCACACTTGCTAGATGAACCTTATCGTGCCATCTAATTATACTTGTGAAGACTGTTTAACCATCGTGTCTTGGGATAAAAAAAAAAAAGCCATTTTTGTGGGCTTGAGTCTGTCCTAGCTTGTATTACTATAATTTGCTAGGATGTTGTATACATATTGAACTTTTTTTGCAAAGAGATAATGTATATTTAAATTAGCAGAAGACTAGCACCACAAAATGTTACCTGTCTGATTAGAAATTGCAGTTCTCCTGCTCTTTGCTGAACGAAAAATAAAAAAGATAAGAAATTTTTGAAGTAGTGACCTGTCCTAAGAGGTACTCCCTGAGATGATCTAAAAATACATTTAACCAGTATTGTTTCTGCTGATCACCAAGTTTCTGCTTTTGTCATAATAGAGTGTTTTTTTCCATTCATGATTCCTTACATTCAACATGAGGAATAAAGGAAGCTGACCTCCTTTAATTTAAAAAAAGGAAAAAAAAACTACTTGTAAAAATGATTGACATTTTGTGGGATGTTTTTATCATCTTTAAGTTTAAGCCATGTGAAAGATTGCTTTGAGCACTGGTGCAAAAGCAGTCTGCTGTTGCCTCCGGTGGTATGTACCGTTTGAAATGGGAGAAGCAAGAAAATTTGTATTGCAGTCATTGGCAGTGCAGTTTTGCCAGTGCTTTATCATGGGAAGATCAAGGAAGGAGGGTTGTGATGATCTTCTGTTATGTGTTTGATCATGTGGAAGCTGCAAAGGGGCTGTTTATAGTGATAAAATTATAGGTTATCAGTGTTTTGTATGTTTTCGGGGGATTTTTTATCTGCTTGTTTTGAATGCTACCACACCCCAAGTTACTGTTTTCACACAACCATGCGGTCTTTTGGAAAGGGTAAGGAGCTAGAAATACAGCAGTCTGTTCTATTGATCATGGCTGCAAATAATCATGCAATATAAATCATGCAGTATAAATAGAATCTACTATAATTTTACCTATCCAATCTGTGAGGAAATACATGTGAAACTGAGGAAGTTTGTGCTTAGAGCCTTCCTCGTTAGCTTTTTGAGGAAATGAACTGCAGTCTCAGTGCTGTAATTGGCCTGTGATACAATCTTGTGTTGAAACGCTGTCTTTCCTCCGGGTGAAACCTTAGGAACCGTTGCGTAGCGTGGGGATTTTTATAAAACACACCAGTGGGGAGTTCACAGCACTGCTAAATACCCATTAGGTATGGCAAGGAGGAACGCTCCCCTTGCATTTAATAAAATTGTCATAATATCAAGGATGTTATTGCGGGGCCTTGGGCAGAAGCGCAGAGCTGGTAGCCAAATTGGGCCGCACTGAAAATAAGCAGATGGATAGGGGGCAATTTGACAGCAGGATAACGGCGAGAAGGCAGAGCTAATTCATAAGTGTAGTTACATATTAATTACTACTTAATGTGATTGTGCTTGAAAAATATATTCAAGTGGGTAGAAGCTCACTGTGAAGGGAGGAAAAGACTGAGAAAATGAAGGGCAGTGTGAACAGGCTGTTGCAAATGATCACATTACTGCAGCTTAATAGGTTCAGGCAGGGGGAATGGGCTTAATCTACTACCTGGGTGGTTTTAGCTGATGTGCTCTGTAATTGCATGTGCTAGCAGTGAATACCTCATCACATTGCCCTCGTACATCAAAGCAGTAGTAAATGAAGTGGTGGGCGCTCAGTTTTTTGGGATCACCTGCCTGTTCACAAGCTCTTCTTGGGGTCTTTGGCTATACAATGGTGTTAGTGTCTACCAGAGCTGTGCCATGGATTGGGGTAAGCATGAAAACATGATGGAGGTGGAGACGAGTTTTCACCCTTCCGTTGCTGTTGTCAAAGGGGAAAAAGCAGAGAAAAATGTTAGCACCTACATGCAGACCCCACAAGGATTGCTAAGCTTTTGCAAACATGTATTTATTGTCCTTCTGTTGACCTTTACTCTATTCCACCGTGTGTGTACTGACTCTGGGAAACCTGTATGCTTACAGACATACATCGGTTCCATCGTCGCCTCCGTGAACCCCTACAAGACCATTCCAGGGCTGTACGACTGCACTGCCATGGAGCAATACAGCAAGCACCACATGGGAGAGATCGCACCCCACATCTTCGCCGTGGCCAACGAGTGCTACCGCTGCCTTTGGAAGCGCCATGACAACCAGTGCATCCTCATCAGGTAAACGGCTGCTGCTTAAATTATCCCTGAGGGCAAGCGCTTATACGTACATTTGGGTCAAAGGAAGAGGAAAACTCTAAAACAAAGAATGTTTCTCCATCATCAAAGTTCTGGAAGAGATTTTTGAATTTTGCTCTGTGTCATTCTGTTGACCTCTGACAAAACATTCATTTTGCTTATGCATCTTGTAATTAAATGGAAAAAAATGTTGGTTATATGCATTTTTGCTGGTTACCCATCTGATTTTCACTATTGTGGTTCATATTTTCCCTGTTGATTCATGCATATATTGGTTCATGTGCAGCTCGGTAGTTTACTGCTGCTAGACCGTGAACCCTGCATCTGGAGAGGAAGAAAAAAGACCAAACAAAACTCCCACCCCAGCCTTGAGAAAGGCTGTAAATAATAATAGCAGAAGGGAAAGCCCTCCATGTTCCAACTGCTTAAATCTGCCTGATTAATTCTCCTTGCTTAATCTAATTGTGCTTTAATTTAATGGTGATTTAATAGCTTCCTTTTTGCTCCACTGTGGAGCTGGTATTCAGAATCCTGCTGCTGCCACATGGTCATGGGGAGGAGTTGGCATTTCAGTAGCTTTCAGGTAGGATACACATGGGGAGGAGAGAGCTCCTCTTCCCCTGCCTTCATCACTCTCTTACGTCTGCAGTATTTTGGGTGTGTGGAACGTGAGGGAAGTGAGAGCTCTTGGGGCACAAACTGGTGTCATCAGGGCTCTCTCCTGGTCTCCAGGGGAGCCCTTGCACGAGTTGGGACACCAGGGCCATGCCTGGGCAGCAGGTAGGGATGTGGCCAAGTGGGAGCCACAGGGATTCCAACCTGCATTTATAATTACAGAGCAGTTTGCAAGGTTTCCTGGAAAAGATGATAATTTGGCACATCAGAATCATCTGCTTGGGTTTCAGCAAAAAACAAGCTGTCCTGGGAAATGTGGATTGGTTACAGCACAGCTATTTTCAGCTTCTCTCATAGGTCTTACTTAGGTGGCAGGCCCACTCTGTACTCTTCCTCAGGCAGCTTCTGTCTAATAATGGAACCAAGATAGGGAGGCTCCATATATTTTTCAGCTATTTTCAATTATTCAACTTCTTTTTTTTCCTTTTTTCTTTTTTTTCTTTTTTTTTCTTTGTGTGTGTATATATGTGCCATTTACATTTACATACATTTTAAAGCTCAGTCCTGGTGGCACTCCATGATAAAATGAAATGTGCAGATACCCTGTGTCATCTGAAGGGGGAAAAAAAAAAAAGTTTGGAATCATGATTTCATGGCATAATACCAGGTAAATATTTGTGAACAGCATAGGTACCCAATTTTCAGTACTGAAATCCTTTCTGGTGCCCACCCCGTGGCTATTAGTATTTTCATTAATCCCATAATGCGTTGGCCTAAGTATCTACCTTTCACTCCAGTTCTCCACAAGCCACAAATAGAGCAGCAGATTATGTCCTAAAAAGGAAATAAAAGTCTGGAATGGTCTAGAGGCTTCACTGTCAGTCTGTGCTCTGCAAACTCTGTGGCTTGGTACAGGTGAGCCATAGCAAGGAAAAATGTCACATTAACAGTCTGTTCTAAGATAGCTAACCCTAGTCTTGGACTAAAATAGTGATTTTGAGTAAGTTCAGTGTTTCCGACAAGTGCAGTATTACTACCTTACAAGAAGCACCTTCCATTTCTATACACTATAACGCAAATTAAAATTCACAGGAACAAATACTAAATAAAAGCACTTTTTGCAAAACAAGGTAATCTGCTGTAGTTTGTGAAGGACTCAGAGCACGGTTGTTTTAAGTTAGTAGATGATTTCAGTGGCTGTCTGAAGTTTAGAAAGGTCTTCACGACTGCATAGTTCTGTGTGGGGCATCAAATTGGAGGCAGACCCAGTTTCCTCGTCGGGCTCGGCATCCTGGCCATGCCTGCAGATTTCACCGCCTTAGAATCATGTTTTGCAGCAACTCACTGTCAGGTTTTCTTGGTTACTCTTGGTGTTGGAAAAAAATGGCCAAGCTCTGGCTGATGTCTGAGTTCAGGCCAATAGTTTAGTATTATATTTCATGTGAAAAAGGAGAAAAAAGAAAATTTTTGTTCTATCATGAAAACATAATGAACAAATACATTCAGTTAAAATGTTAGTTGTCAGAGTAGGTTTCAAATTCTGATATGCAGCTTTCGCCTGTTCCTACTTTAGGGATGTAAAAGCTCAGTAAGTTGAAACTGCCTTATGAAATATTTACTTTTGTTTTGGTTTTAATGCTCCTCTGGACTTGAAGTGCCCCCTGCTGGTGGTCAGAATTTGTTCAGCTTTGTTTAGGGGATGCTTTTTTAAGGATGTGGTGTTTGGATTCAAAAACCTGTGAAAAAGCTTCTGGATTATTTTGAAATGTTTTGATAGATTTTCTGAGTGGAATAAGATGAGGATCAAAAAGTGTCACCAGCAATGATGCAGAAGGTAAAATAAAGCCCGAAGCATTTTTTTTTTTCTAGCATAGCCACTCAGAGTAAAGGTGAAAAGGAAGGGAGTATAGAAGGGATAATATGCCATGAAGCCCTCTCAAGATGCCTGGTTATGGCTCTGTGCAACACAGTGTTATTTGTGATAGTGCTGTAGGAGAATGACTTAGCAGTCTATAATGTATGTCCTCAGAGGGGCGCAGTGGAGAAGCTGTGCAAAAAGCCCATCACAGTCAAATTTGGTGCTATCACAGACATATTACAAAGCTATTAACATCTTTTGATTTTTCTGCTACCCTGCTGCTGATCATGGAGAGCCAAATGAACAGCTTGAGCTGAGTAACTGGTGGTCCGGGCCCCTTGGCAGGAGCGGGAAGGGAGTCTCTTGCTGTTAGTCAGGGAATAGCCAAGCAGTCCAGAGATGTGACTGAGTTCAGTTCATGATTAGCACACGTTTAGATTGTGTTTTTGCATATTTGGGTTGTATTTTTGTTGCTTTTTTTTTTCCTTAAGACAGTCCAAGAAGTGTAGAGCAATAGGAGTGGCAACAGCCATGCTGAGTTATGTTCTTCTCAGGTCAACGTTGCGAGTGGGAAATCACAGTCAGAAACCAGTTTGTTCTCTCTGTTGTTTATCAGTCATATGGTGGCCTGGTGATCTTTTTGTTGTTGCTTAGTTTGAAAATCAGCATAAAACAAACTACTCTTTGGATAAGACCCAGACTTTTGATGGAAGACCTGCTTGTGAGAGTGACATACCAAAATTCTCTTGTGCATTTTAAAAAATTGTGTTTGCTGAGGAGGCCTATTTTTTCCGTGTGGGTCTGCTTTAGGGTGTTAAGGCCAGAAGAAAGAACTGAGAAATGTTTGAGTTGTGTTGCTGCAGCCTTATTTGCATCAGAATGAGAAGTTTCTGTTACTGATGCCTTTTTTCATTGCAGCAGTCTGGAGTTCAGACGGTTGTGCCCTTAGTGATATGCCCCGTGTAGAGCAAGTCATGGAGAAAGATGAAAGATCTCCTAAATGAGGGCCTCGTGGGTTGTTGTCATCCTTAATATATTCAGAATACTGAGTGTAACAATGTGGAATAAACTGGGCATTTAAACTCATGGGGAGAGGAGCTGCTGGAAAGGTTGAGTCTGTAGTAAAAGATTCCCCTTCTTTCGCTTGCCAACATGCTATAGGGATAGGCTCTCTACGAATTCTGAAAGATTGATCCCGGGCTAACCTACTTTTGATGTTTGTGCCGTGTGGGTTGAATAAACAACCTGAAAGATTAGTATGCTTGTTTTGGGTTTTCATCTTCTTAATTGCATCTGTTTTTTATGAAGCATTTTTGCAAGGGGGAAAAAAAAAAAGCTGCCTTCACACACAGACAATGATAGGTGCTGAGCTGGGCAGTGTCATGCAGGACTGAGGTCTTGTCATGCTAGAGGGATTCGTGGAACAATCAGCTCAGTGCTCTGTAGTATTTGCAAAACTAACTAGAATTAGTCATTAATAGTATAGGCATAGAGAACAAAACAGAGTTCATTGCATAAATCCATACTTTTCCCATGTCTTGAACATTGTGAACGGGTCCTTTGCTCCTTGCTTTATATCCAAAAAGACTTGTTGTAACTGAAGACGCTTCAGAAAAGAACAAAAAGGAATGGAAGTGTAGAACGACTTTGTTATGTGGGAATGGCTAACGAACCTTGGCAGCAGCGTGATCGATGCCTCTGAGGTTGGCAGCAGCAGGGAGAGGGAGATCAGGGGTGTTTTGTTTGCTGTTATTTCCAATAGGAGAACTAGGTGGCATCAAAGGAAACTAATAGGGAGTAGATCCAAATCAGCAGACCTGGCTTTCTGTACAGCATGTGATCATCTTTACAGTAGGATGTTGTGAGTGTTAAAAGTTCATGATTTTTTTGAGGAATGTGGCTAGAAATTCATGGAATTGAGGAATTCCGTGGAATCCTCATGCATTGAGGATTAGAAGATGCTGAGAAGCTGGAAGAATATGGAAGGGAAAGTAGTGTCTTCCCTTTTGGTTACGTACAGCACACTGAGCAGGTAGATCTTTGGCCTGACTCAGTGGTGCCACTAGTGTTCTGAAAAAAAAAATCAAGAGTGTGTAATCCTGCATAATGCCAACTGTACTAGAAATAAGCATAGAAAATGATTTTCAATGAACTTTGAATATATTCCTTACAGAATTGCTCTCCGTTACTCCGGGGTAATGCAGCTTCCATGAAACAACCATTAATGTTCCTCAGCATAGGCTGTGGGGTGGTGTGACAGCTGAAGGGTAATGTCTTCAGAAGAGATGACCCCAGGTTCCTGCAGTGGAGCTCAAAGCAGAAGAATATAAGCAGGAAGAGATATGTGCCACTTGATGAGACTTTTGCACCAGGCAAAGATAATGCAAGTGCACGTGAAATTCTTTCAAAACTAGTAGGAGATGTGTTGTGATGGTCTTTTAGGATACAAGGAAGCAGCATCAAATATGGGATATAATAAAGATTTGCTTCCTTGGCAAAGAAGCATTGAAGGGGTTTGGATCTGTGGAGAGAGAGAGAAAACAAACACCAAAAAGGCTCAGACCTTTGGGGAAGGTGGTTATGAGCCCAAATCCCAAGTGTCACAGGTAAAATTAAATTAAATATAATGCAGAAATAGTTTGGGATGGTAAATGTGATGGATGAAAAATATATAACTCAAACTTAACAGTATTCTGTGTGTCCTTTGTTAGGAGGTTTATGAAACATTTTAAAGACTTGTTAATTCTTTCTGGGAAATGTTTATAAGTAGATCTCGGCTAAAAGACTCTTAGTCTCTCATTATGTACCTTGTATGCTTCTTCCATGGTTATTTTTGAAATTGTTCGTATTAATTTGCAGGAAAATGACTTACTGCTTCCTTGGGCTATACCTTTCTTCTTTGCTTTTTCATTAAAAACCATCATGATCCTTTATCATGACCTAAAACCAGTAGGGACCTTACAATGGCACAACAGGAGACAGTCGGCTAAACTGTGTGTGTTTAGTCTTGCTCCATCAACGTCCATGACAGAACTCCCACTTACTGCAAGGAAAAGGGTAGAACAAGGCCAAAATGTACCTTCCTCCCAAGGAACTGAACAGGAATTAGGCGCAGCCTAATGTCCTACACATTTGTATTCAATAAATACAGTGAAATACTGTCTGAAAAGTGGTACAGAGTGTGATGTTAACATGATTTTTTTCTTGTTGAATGTGTATTTAGCAAATTTAAAGGTGTGTTTTGCTTACCAAATTCTGCTGCTATTTAATAGTCTTGTATACTTCTCGCAGTCTTCATAGCTTCTAGTGATTTAGAGGGTTGTCTAGACAAAGGGCTTTTCCCCAGGAGCTGGAACTGTCAAAACACTTTCTTCTTCTTCTTCTTTCAGTGGTGAAAGTGGTGCCGGAAAGACAGAAAGCACTAAGCTAATTCTCAAGTTCTTATCTGCAATGAGCCAACATTCACTGGAGCTGTCTTCCAGAGAGAAAACCTTCTGCGTGGAACAAGCTATTCTTGAAAGCAGGTACATCACTCATATGCTCATGTGTTGCACAGAAGGGTCTGTTATACTGAGATGGGACTGCCACAGAAGTTGAAAATGTTTAAAAGCTAGGTTAATGTAAAAACACGGGTGGATAAATATGGAAAACTCATACCTAACGCTGGTTCTAGGGCATGAACTGACTGGTATAAATTTGCCCTGTTAAGAATTTCATATTCTGATTCAGATCCTGATTTCTTGGTATAAAAGAAACCAATTCTTCCTGTGTTTACACAATAGTTGCATTCTGGTTAGAAAATTCCATATAGAAAGTCTGTTTTACACCATAGGCCCTATTGCTATTAAGTACCTGTTAAGCTATGGTTTCTTTAACTCAAAGATGCTTTTGGGTCAAAATCTGTGAGGAAGAGCAGGTTCTTCAAACAGCTTATTAGGGGCTATAGAATCTTTTGGTTTTTTTTTTTTTAAACCCTTTGTATATACCTTTCATCCCTTCCGAAACCCATTTCACTGAGAAAGACAGACTTGCTTTCTTCCTAGCACAGATTTATATGAATATAAATGTGACCGTATTGTCATGGTCACATTTTAAGGAACAGACTGAATCAGTGGGAAATGATGTGATGAGCTTACATCACACTACACGCACAGTGTGATGTAAACTGTGTGATTGTAGAGGAATACTATGTACTTCCAGTGCCGTGGTATTTAATTAATGCACAATTATTTGATTTTGCTTTTCCAAATCTCTAAATACGCAGATCTTTTGCAGAAGACATATGCCTTAGTGAAATGAAAGAGCTTGCAATATAGCTATATATGTAGATAAATTTACTAAACAATAAAAATAGTATCAGAAAGGGAGAAATTCCTATTAAATTCGGGTGCTCTAGACAGCTAAGAGCACAGTGGGGTATCTTAATGCGGGAAATAGATGGAGATTCCTGAAATGGATGGTGAGTTAATGGTGGCTTCCTTTTTATTCTGAGGCTGAATTCAGTTAAAGTGAGGGAAACAGGTGACGGAGGAGAGGAACTGTTGGCTTGGTGTGTGTGTAGCCGCCTCCGGCTACAAGGTAAGGGAGATGGAGCATAATGAGGAGAAAGAGAGCATGTGGTAGAAGCATGCTCAGGAAAAACGAAGATCAGGAAAGCAGATATGACAGTAGAGTAGATGCATCACATAGGTTGGACACTCTATACAAGCCAAAAATCAGTGCTCAAATGAAATGACATATGTTTCTAAGCTATTTAAAACCAAAGTCAATTTAAGATCTATTACTGCTGTTTGCTTACTTGCTGTATACTCATTTAAAGAACTTTTTTTTCTTAATTGTCCTGACATAGGACAAGTACTATTTTTCCTTCATCTGCCCAGCACCTTGCTGTAATTTGACTACTGAGAAGAGAATTGCTTGCATCTTCTGCACTGCAATAGATTAAACACTGCAGTAGTTTAGTACAGCAAATCTTGTTTCCTGGATGCTTACATGAGGTGATGCCAAATAGAGATGTTCGTTGTCAGGATAATGCTGAAGATATGGGCTAAGGCTGAGAAGGGTGTCAAAGTGGACTTTACACAGAGCCATTCCTTTTGCCATTCCCCTGGGAATGGGAAGCTCTTAGCCTGCTGAGTACACATTAACACTTTTGTCATTTTCATGTATTTTTACAGTCCAATTATGGAAGCTTTTGGAAACGCGAAGACTGTTTACAACAACAACTCGAGTCGCTTTGGGAAGTTCATTCAGCTGAACATCTGTCAGAAAGGGAACATTCAGGGAGGAAGAATTATAGATTGTATCCTTGTTTGGTGATTAGCCTCAGTATTTCGGGGCAGCTGGCGTACATCTCATCTGCAGGATGCTGAGGGAGAAGTAGCTTTTCTGTCCTTTCACCCTACCCAGAAACACACACAGTTCTCTCGGTCTGGTTTGGGTGGGAAAGACAAGCTGTGTGACCAAATTTGCACTCATGCACACATGCATGGGTACCAGGGTGGGTCATATGCAAGATCTTGCATTGCTTCTGGTATGCTGCTTCATGTGTGTCTTCCTACATCACGAGCTAGCAAGACCTTAATTCTTGGGTCTGATCTCAGTTCTCAACTGTTTCCCTCAGTTGCTGTGGCTGAAGATCCATTTCTCAGTTACTAGTTCAAAGAGCAGAGCTGCTGAATTCCCACAATGTGAGCATGGGTGGTTGGGTCCTTGGATATAGCCAGCAAAATCGGGGAGATATGCTGCTGGTGCCCCTTTCTCAAATCTTACCTGGTACTTCTGAGCATCTGCTGCCCTTTGCAGTATCCACAATTCATGCTTAAAGCTGTTTCCAGGTTTTAGTGGGAAAAAGGCAAAGTAAAGGAACACAGATGCCATTAAAAATCCAGAATGTGATAAGTTCAATTGTGGAGGAGTTGGAGAAAAAGAAGGTGGGAAAAAACATTGGTGTTAGAACTATTGTAATATTATCACTGTTGCTGGTTTTTCATCTTGGTTTGGCAGTAGGCAAGTTGTAAGAAAAGGCCGTGAGGCTTTTCCTACTGTCTGAAATGAAAGCATAAGGAGAGTTTATAAATAGCTTGTGCATTAAATGGTGTCTGCTTTATTCCTTGACTGAAGTTTTTTGTACGTGGCTGTAGATTTATTGGAAAAAGTAAGTTGATTTGCTTTTGCTCAGCTATTTTTTTTTCCATTTTTTTTGAAGTTGTGGATAAATAAATTCTCCCTAAAATAATTCCTTAAATGGAAACTCTCTTTTGCTTTGACAGAACCGTGTAGTAAGGCAGAACCCTGGGGAAAGAAATTATCATATATTCTACGCTCTGCTGGCAGGGGTAGAAGAGAGAGAGAAAGGTGAGTGGCAAAGCATGAATGACACAACCATAGTGGCTCTCTGCTCCTATCAGCTGTGGTGACGATGGTGGAAAATTAGCAGTAGGAATCCTATAGCCCAAGCAGAGAAATGGATTATTTATTAAGTATGAATTCACTGAGTGTGAATTTGAGCTCAGCTTCATAAAGCAACCTGCTTAGCTGAAGAATGTCGTCATGCTGCAGATAATTTTTCCTCCCAGCTGCTGCTGAAGCCCTGGGAAAATTATCTGGGGACAAACATGCTTGACTTTGTTCAAACTGAATATTTTTGCTGGTGCTGAATAACTCCACAGCAACTAAATGAAGAATTCTTGTTTTTTCTAATCCCCTCTCATAAAGAATAAATCCACTGAACAAAAGAAATGACATTTGTATATGTGCAAAATTGCCTAAGGCTGTTTCGGCACCTCCCTGTGGACTGTCTGTCTTTGCATGCTAAAGTAGCCTTAGCACCATTGTACAGCTCCAAAAAGAAAAGAATAAAAAAGAAGCAACAAATAAAAGCCCATTTTTTTTTCATGTAAACTCTCTTTGTGGGTGATGTTTATTTCTGAGCAAATGACTTGTGAGCTATTTAGCTGTCACATAAGAATTTGTGGAGTGTTTTCCTTTTGTGGGTTTTTTTTTCACTCTCTCTTTCCTCCCCTCGTTAGATGCTTTTTACTTATCTATGCCGGAGAACTACCACTACCTGAATCAGTCTGGATGTACAGCGGATAAGACAATCAGTGACAAAGACTCTTTCAAGGAAGTCATTGTGAGTTGTTCCCTTAATTCTTTGTGTTTTAAGTGTGCTGGTAGTGCAGGTGCCCGGGACCTCTGTGTAGAGCAGGACACAAAGCCTTCCCATGCTTACCTGTGCTCTCCTCCTCTTTCAGGCATTACTACATGGCGCTGTATCACACGGGCACTAGTAGGGACTTATTTTTTCTGATAACATTTCACTGCCATTTTGAGCGTGTGTCTGTCTTGCCTCCACTATTCAATTTTACTTTATCCTTTCTATTTGTGCTCATGTGAAATGATTGCATTTTGGAATCTGGAGAGTATCAGTTGGAAAGACAGTGGGACATTTGCATGTCTTTGCCCTTCCATCCATGCCCACCTGCAGTGACATTTACAGCACTTGAGAATAATGAACGTATCCATTTGTATTTGTGTTAAAATTCTCTGTGTGCAGTGCTGCTTGAAGAAAAATGTTATGCAGTAAACACGAGTGTACCCTCTTTGTCAGGGTATCCTGTACCTCAAATAAAACACAGCAATATGAACAAGAGTGTTCACAGACAGTAGGATTGGTGTCACGCTTTAAAATCTGACTCATGCTAAGCACCTGCAGACTACAGAGTTGCACTTTGTTCCTGAATTTAAGCTCAAAAAGTATAGTAGTGGACTTCCTCCTTTGCACTCCTCCAGTATAAATGTGAAAGCTACTGTGAAAGTAGTGAGATGCCTGGTTATACTTATAAAAAAAGGCTCATTTTCATGTCTGTTCATTAGTTATCTGGGTAGAGTTACTCATACAAAACTGTCAAAAACATGTAGGAATCGGGAAGCAACCTGCCTTTTATGGGAAGGCAGTCTTGTTTTATCAGATGTCTTATATAACACATTTTATCAGACGGTTTATATTACATGTATGTGTATTTTCACTGCTTTCTCATTTTAAAGCTTTATATAGATCATGTAATGTCTTTTGGCCCAAGTCCATAGTGCAGCGTTTAGGCAGAGCAGCATGTGGGTGTATGTAATTCTCTATGTTGTACTTAGAAGATCCAGGTATATGGAATAATTTACAGAAAACAGTTGAATGAAACAGGTTAAAAAACAGGTCCTAATGGAGACTTTCTTTGAACAACTATTTCTCTAACCTACATTAATGTTGAAATTAGCAAAAGTGATTTGTCTGTGCTAACTTATAGGAGGATTGCTCATTGCTTACTATATTACTGAAGGGATATATGATAGACTTTAGAAATCAACAAAAATCATATTTCATGTCCTTCACCTTTTTTTTTCTTTTTTTTTTTCTTTTTTTTTTTTGCTTAGCTATCTTAATTTCTTTGCCAGAGCTGCTGTGCAGTGGATGCAGCAGTTATTTTTACAGTAAAAATGCATAATCTACTGTGGTAAGGGATGCTAGAAAAGTTGTTATTTTACCTAGACCGTAGTCATATAGCTTAAGGTGATTAACATGACATTCAATTTGTGCTAATTATCTCACAGCACGCAGAGCATGAAGTTGACTTGACAGGTTAGGTTTTTATTCTGCTGTAAATACCGACACATTCGGAACACCAACCGAGACTGCCAGTCTTCTTTCCTAGAATAGGGAAGGGACCAAAATTTTGCAGTTGGCTCTTTCCTGTCTTTTCCTATCCTGTTTATCCGCTTTCTATATTTTTTCTTACGGTGTAAGTCCTAGAAATGTCACTCAAATAAAACTTTTTAAAGTCATTCCCTCTCTATGCTTTTTGTGCTGACACTTTTCTAGAAGCAAGATGCATGCTCAAGTGGTTTCACTTCGGGTGATTTTCTTTGTATCTGTCCTTTTGCAAGGGGCCGGGGAGGGGGGAGCTGCACTGTGAACTTGGAGATGTGTCCAGGAGCAGCACTGCCTGCTTCCTTAGAGCACTGTTGCAAAAGGTCTCCTGTGCTTTATCCTTTCTGAGCTGTGGGAAGATTGTGAGGGTTGCCATTCGTAACAGATTTATTAAAGATGTGTTGTGTGCCCTCTGTGTGGGAAGATTGTGAGGGTTGCCATTCATAGATTTATTAAAGATGTGTTGTATGCCCTCTATCAGACACCTGTCATGAGCATAACGATATAAATCAGAATATATAGATACCCATTTGCTGTTTGCTTGTTATAGAGTATCATTGGCATGTTGGTAATTCATAAATTCAACAAACTTTGTATAGATCTGTTTTTCTTGTTCAATTCTGTGGTAAGATGACAAGAATATATTGGTAAGATCTGTGTTTGGACTGCACTGCTTTCAAATTCTCTGCTTTAAATTCCCCATGGCTGAGAAAATAAATGTGCAAATCTAGTATGGCACTGTGTTGCCTCCCCCCATGCCTTGTCAGCTATGTGAGTAATTGGCAGAACTTTGTAAAAACAGAGGTTATAAATTACTAGCACAAATGGATGAAGTTGCCTCATGAAGAACTCTGTAAAGCACTTCAGGCTGCTTATAATTGTAAGCATACTGGAGAATCTGAAAGCAGAGGGGCCTCTACAACATCCAAAGAGGGAGAGTTTGCAAAAACAGTGATACTTGCGTGTTGAAGGTTGTCTGTGTTTCCACATTTGCCTTAATGCACCTTGTGTTTAAGAAGTTAACCTGTCATTCCAGACTGCAATGGAAGTGATGCAGTTCAGCAAGGAGGAAGTGCGAGAAGTTTTGCGGCTATTAGCTGGCATTTTGCATCTGGGAAACATTGAGTTTATCACTGCTGGTGGGGCGCAGGTGTCCTATAAAACAGGTGAGAAGGCTGTGGTTCCTTGCAGCATAGAAGTGTTTCTTGGGGGTGTGGAAGTTATACTCAGTGCTAGCACCCACACCAAAGCAAGGACAAATAGTGAAAGGGGTCTGATGGCTTTTCGGCTTCTGTAAATGTTGATTAAAGTGTTGGTTTGGGTTTTTGACAAGTAAAGCAAATCACTTCTGAACACTAGTTTTTAGGATTAGCTTAGAAAAAAACCTGAGTATGTATTTATTGCATTAACAGTAGTGAAATTCCAGTGTATTCTAATTCCTGGCTTAGAGTGTTTTCAATATGGTAAAACTTATGTGCATATGTATGTTCCACAACTGAGCTCTCTATATAAACTATATTTTACTAGAGCTTTTGGTATTGCAGTTCCAATTTGAAAACGTATTGCAATGTCCAAAGATTGGGCTTATGGGCATGACTCTTTTTATTTCAAATATGGCAACCAACAGTAGCATTAGCACTGCTTTGTATACCATATCATAAAAAAATGCAATTTAAAATATGTACATAAGAATAATTTTCTTATTTTATTGATTTTCTTTATTCTCGTAATCCTGAGGGGAGCTTAAACACATTCATGTGGACAAAGAGGAAATTACTGCTTGTAGCTGGAGAAATATGTTAGTGAAAGTAGCAGATTATTTGAAACCTTAACTTGTAATGTTGAGGTAGATAAATATCTGTGACTTAATTGTGATGAATATGTACTACTAATTTCCTTCAGTTGTGCATATTTATGATTCTGTACTTCTTCACAGGTCTTCGAAATTATATTTGTGTTTTTATTTCTAATTCCTATCATTATAAAGCCTCTTAAATGGTGATCACAATAATAATAATAATAATAGAACAAGCAAAGCTTCATGCACGTATGTGTTTAAGAATATATTTATATTTGGCTCTTTCTCTCACCAGCTCTGGGAAGATCTGCTGAATTACTGGGGTTGGACTCCACACAGCTAACTGAAGCATTGACACAGAGGTCAATGATACTCAGGGGAGAAGAAATCCTAACACCTCTTAGTATACAACAGGTAAAGGCATCTCGGTTTTGACTTGCTTCCAGGGTCTATTAAATCCTATTGCTCAGTCTTGAAGTCCAGCGATAACTTTGATCCCTTAGGAAGGGAAGGTCATTTCATGCATCAAGGTTGTGTTGCTATCGAGAGCACTACCTAATTTTTTAAGAGGGTATAATTGGATTTTTAGAAATCTCTATAGATATCATCCTACCATTCTGGTCAGGGCTTCTAATTGACTGCTGTGATTTACTATTCTGTCTTGTTGCTTATTGTTCCTTACTTACTATTCTGTCTTGTTGCTTATTGTTCCTTCCAAACTGTAATCATGCAGGCTGACATTTTTAATCATGGATAGCTGAGTTAGGTGAGCAGTTTTGGAATCTTTCAGCAAAAATTCATGGGTTATTTAGAAGAAGGGAGGAAAAGAAGGGGAAGAAGAAGAAGAAGGTATACATTAGTAGTGTATAAGAAGAAAAAAGTATGCATTAGTACTATGCTTACCAATGAAAGACAGTATTTTCTGCCCTTCTTTTCCTCCTCCTCCTCACCTTAGGTCTATCATTTCCTATTTTTTGAACGCTTGAGTTTTGAAATATAATGTTAAAGCCACATAAATACACTTTTAAAGCTTGAACTTACACTATTAAAACTTGAACTGGAACTCTTAGCAACTGATAATATAAATACAATCAAGATATGTGGAAATGCAAAGCTGTGTGCAGTATAATTTGCCTTATGCTGGGCAAAGGACAGTGACTGCCAAAATCTGGTAACTTCTTAGTTCCAGGGACGATTACTCTTAACATGTGCTGTTTCTCTAATGCAGGCAATAGATAGCAGAGATTCTATGGCTATGGCACTTTATTCTCAGTGTTTTGCGTGGGTCATTAAGAAAATCAACAGCAGGATCAGAAGCAAGGAAGACTTCAAGTCCATTGGAATTCTGGATATATTTGGATTTGAAAACTTTGAGGTAGGTTGACAAGGTTGTTCTCATGGAACCTCTGGCATTTGCACTTCATTGTTCTACGTATCTTTTTCATCTTCACTGTAACTTGATTATTAAACATGTTATGACTTTAATTAGTTCATTGTTTGCAAAGTAAAGTACTTTGAACATGCTCATTGTTGAACGTTTCTTGTCTTTGTAGGTTAATCGTTTTGAGCAGTTTAATATTAACTATGCAAATGAAAAGCTTCAGGAGTATTTCAATAAACACATCTTTTCCTTGGAGCAACTGGAATACAGCAGGTAAGAGTTACAGCTGAAATTTGAGAGCAGTTAGAAAATAGCTTTTGAGTTTTGGACTCCCAGCTGCTGCATATTCCCTCAAAAGTAGAAATACAGCAGTTCTTTTAATTCCTATATTTAAAATCTTCACTTAAAATCTTTGCTTATGTAATTGTAAATAAAAAGCCACTCCTTATTTTTACTAGGGAAGGACTAGTTTGGGAAGATATTGACTGGACAGACAATGGAGAGTGCTTGGATCTGATTGAAAAGGTATTTGGTATATCTGTTCATATTTCTTTCAGTTTTTGTTAGGAAATGTCCTTAAAACACCTGCTGACACAAAACTCAAGTGAAGAAGTAGCTGAGGGATGTTTAAGTAGTGTTCTTTTAATGTAATCATTCTCACAGATGGCCGTATTCGAGATTATATGGTAAGGTCAATATACCTATCTTCCTATGTAATAGCTTTTAACAGGATGTGACTATAGGCAAAAGCAAAATGATATGATTGAAAAGGTGAAATAGAGATTGTCTTTAGTCATAAAGCTTGCCTGCCTATTTTTGTGTGTGTGTGTGTTCCTTTTTATTAGTGTATAATGTTCAGTAAACCTTACAGTAAAAGCAATGAATGTAAATAATAAAGTCCATAGTATTAAGTACTGAAAGATAAAATTGAGAAAAATTTTGCTTTGAAGATTTTTCAACCAAAAAGACAAGATTGACAAGCTGATTAGATGGGAGGTAGGGGGAAGGAATGACAATGTCTTGCTACATTATTGCTCTTTCTGAACTGCTGGTAATCATCATTTATTGCCTGCCAGTTTTTGTTTATCCACAATTGAGTTCATAGTCTTATTGTACCACCCCCGCCCGCCCCCCCCGCAAAAAAAAAAAGAGCATATAAAAGTGATGTACCTGCACGGTTACTGGTGGGAATGCCAGCGGTTAGGGGCATATGTGATCCAAATTTGCTGCCTAGAAATGGTGACTCCAGCGTTTCTTCAAAGAATATGTTGTACGACGTTTTAGTCTGTTCACTTTTGTTAGCAATTCAAGGGGGTTGCATGGATTGATCACTGCAGTGGGGTGTGATGTTGCTTGAGTTTACATGACCACGGAAAATCTCAACAAAGTCGTGGGCAGAGGGTTCAGCTGCTGGGATGGGACCGCCATGAGGCGGTTTGTCCGCAGCTGCCCTAGGCTAGGGGGAAATGGTTTGTTAAAATGTACACCTGGAGAATTACGTTTTTCTGGGAGACCATATCAACCTAAAGTTTGCTGGACACATTAATTAACTGTAAGGTAGCTTACTTTGTTTACCATCTTTCCTAATGGGTGAAGCAGGGAACATCAAAGGAAATTATGCAGACGCGTATGCAAAGCAAAGAGAGGTTCTGTTTCACACAATGCATAGTTAAACTGAGAAACTTTTGCTGTGCCCCTGGGCACTGGAGATGCTAAAAGTGTGCATAGGTTTAAAAAGCAATTAGATAATTTTATGGAAGACATTTTTTGAAAGGCTGTTTGCACAAACTCCTCAGGCTTGAGGAGCAGCTCACTGGGGATCTTGGAGGCTGTGGGTGTGTTCTGTGGTCATGTCCCTAAATGCACCTAAAAACTCCCTACATCAAGAAGATTTCTTCTTCTGGCAGGAGTATTGTCAGAAAAATAGTATTGCAGTCTCCCACAAGGGTGGGTTTCTAATCATGTACTGGTCGTTCGGTGCCTCTCTGCACAGTAATTTCAAGAACTTTGTGAGTTTTGTGACCTGCAGACAGGGCCATTGTCCACCTGTGCGCTAATTCATCTTCTGCCTCTTCTCACTGTTCTAGAAACTTGGCCTGCTGGCACTCATCAATGAAGAGAGCCATTTTCCTCAAGCCACTGACTCCACCTTACTGGAGAAGCTGAATGCCCAGCACGCCGTACGTGATGTTCTGCCAATGTGTTTTGAGCAAATTATGGAGTGTGTCTTTGCTTCCGCAGAAATTCCTGATTCAGATACGTGGGTACATAATTGTATGTTTGGGGCCTGATCTTACTTCCATGGCAATTCATGTCATTTGCTTTCAGGACTGAGACAATTACCTGAAAAAAATGTACCCATGTTACCATCCAGTTAGAGAATTCCATATTGTTGGAAGCGCCATATTTTACTCTTGGTTACAGCTCTAACAACCTACAGTAACTCTGTTTAGCTCTTCAATGTCTGTTGATGTATTGAAGTGTTTAGTTGACGGCACGTTGCCTTCTTTGTACAGGTTTTACCTTTATTTGTGATCAGAATTGTGATCAGGAATTTCTGTGATACAAGCTTATGGTTATCTTCATAACACCAGTCTTAAGACTGTTCCTTCTTTTTCAAAGTGCCATTAATGGATGGTTGTACCAGATGGGTTAGAACTTAGCATAATGCCTTTTTAGGCACAATAAATCTGCTATTGCTGCATTTGCAGTAACCCAGACTAACAAATCCTATTATCATTATAAGTTGGTTGTTTGCTTTCAGAGCACTAATCTTCCAGGGAGTTCACTGGAAGACAGAGGTTTGTTTAAATCTGGGCTGAGAGGATAATGTAACCCTTTGTATTATTATGCTCCCTGCCTTCAAATATATTTTTCTCTTTTCTTTTCCTGCCCATTAGAGCAATCCTTTTTATGTGAAACCAAGAGTTGCCGTTCACAACTTTGGAGTGAAACACTATGCCGGGGAGGTAATTTTCTTTACTTGCTAAAATTATTGCAAGCAGAGTTTTCATTAGCTTAATTTAACAGCCCTGAGGCGGTTCAGAATTAAGTAAAACGCTATGTTCCCTCAGCACTTTTTACAGTACTGCCTCTGAGAGGGGTGCGTGATGACTTGGCTTTCTGTTTGAACCTGCGCTGTTTCTCACTAGGTCCAGTACGACGTCCGAGGGATCCTGGAGAAGAACAGAGATACTTTCAGAGATGATCTCCTGAACTTGCTGCGTGAGAGCAGGTATGTTTCTGTGATTTCTGTTTAAACCTTGTCTTAAGGGGGTGCCGTCTCACCTTGGTCTGCCAGGGTTTGAGTACATTGCATAGCATCAGTGCTTAGCAGAACTAAAAGGAGCAGAGAAATCATAGCAGTGCCTGTAAACAGAACAAATAAGTGATACTGGTAGTGTGTGTTTTACAGTACAAATGTATTGCAGTATGAGTTGCCATCTCATAATGTCTCAGAAAGGAGAATTTCTATAAAGACTTCATATTATCGAAAGTGTGTGCCTGGTTGTCTTTGGTACTTGTGTGCCTCCTGGCATTCTGCTGTGTAAGGTGAGATCCATGATCCTCACAGTATTTCTGTGAGTTGTAGCAATGCTCTACCCCTTTCTTTGTATGTGTGATTGAGATGCCAAGAGTTTTCACAGAGTTTTCATAGAGTTTTCATACAGGAACAGGGAACTGAACTCAGATTGTCCCTGTTCTTGGCTGCCGCCCTAACCCATCCAGTCATGCTGCCTTTTTGTCAGAGTAGCTGCATTTTAAATCCCTTAAGCTCTGGATACATGGAAACTATTAATAAATATTTTCATCTGTATGTTATTAGTTCTGTTTTCATGACATATCTGACATAACATCTGTCAATTGAAGTATGTGGATAAAAGTAATAAATGAGTTAAAGCTGCAGGGCCTGATCTTGCAATTGCATCAATGTCTGTCTGGAATGATTATATCTAAGTTAAAAGACATGTGTTTCTATAAAAGTGGTAACAGGAGGATACAAAATGGATGGCATAAAAAATGACTTGCATACCTAGTATCTGAAATTGAAGATCATGTGAGTGCGTATTTTTTGTTGCAGTCCAAAGCAAACTGGAAATCGTCTAAAATCTCTATTCAGGTGTAGTCCCCGTTACAGTCTTGAGTTTTTGGTTGACTGTGTCCATAGGATTTCACTCTTCCTTTCCCCAGTGATATGTTGCAAATAGAGGAGAGAACCAGGATTGGCTTTTTTGCTTCTCCTGTATACACTCTGCAAATAATAAGAGTTGTAGTTTAGAAATTCTAAGTTTTCTTCTAAGGGAGAGCGCTAATGCCGCACTGCAAGTGGCAAACCCTGTGGTCTGTTAGGACACACCTTTGAGATTTTGTTTCCCTTTCAGTCTTGATTTCATCTACGATCTATTTGAACACGTTTCAAGTCGCAACAATCAAGATACTCTTAAATGTGGAAGCAAGCACCGCAAGCCCACTGTCAGCCTGCAGTTCAAGGTTAGTTAATGTGTTCTCTCTGCTCCCTAGCTAATGGATGATAGATAAACTCTGTTCAAGCAAGAACAAGTGCGATTAAAACTCTAAAAACTTCAGCTCCAAAATGTCGCTGTCTCTTCTAGGAAACTGCAGTTACTAATCAACTACTTGGCCATAACTAGCTTCAACTAATCTCCATATTACAGCATTCACACAAAATTACTTTTGCTTTCCGTTTGCTTCCTTGTCCTTATTTTAAAGGTCTTCCATGAAGCTAGTCTCTCTTGTCTCATTTTTTTTTTTTCTTTCTAATCTAAATCAACCACAAAATGGCATGGAGCCCTAGAGCGATGCCTCTGTGCTATGAAAAATAAGTACTGAATACATATCTCATTAAGGTGTTGCCCAGCCTTTTAACTTAGAGTTTGGAAAGTACTTTTATTAAAAACCTTTTTAGGAAGCTTTTTAACTCTGCCATCCAAAATGATACCAAATTGAAATCTAACATAAAGTCTATCTCCAAATTATTTAAAAGAGAATGATTGGCACAAAATCTTCCGTAAATTGCAGGGGTACAAGTCTGGATTAGTTGTCTTTCATTTTGCTCAAATTAATGCTCTGTTCATTCACTCTATTTTTAAGGGTGTAGACTTGAACCCCTTTAGGGCGGACATTATCCTAATAGACTATTGCTGATGGTTAGACAGAACTGCAGGGAATGTACAGTGGGGTGCACACAATTTCTTTTAAACACTGATGTTCATGTTCCCTGAGCAGCTTGCTTTATGCTAACATCCCCGGCTTCACATAGTACCAACTTCTTGTGATAAGGTGCTGTTCTTTGCTACTTCTTGGAAATAGCAGAGGGTACTATTTCTATACAGTCGTAAGTACATGTGACAATTAAATCTAAAATGTTACTGTGTAAAAATTGTCTGTATTTTTAAATCATCCACTTTGCAAGGTAGAACATAATGTAGAGTAGAGCTCCTTTGCTCCACCTTGGACAGCATAAAGCATGATAAAACAACAAATCAAAGCATTGCTGTCTCTTAAATAAAGCTGCAATAACAGATCTTCAGGAGTGCTCCTTCAGAAGAGGTTGACCTTTATCATGTCACCTCCGAAGGATTTAGTTGCTTTCTTTGCACAGTCTTTTGCTTTCTTTACAGCCTTCCAAGGAGTCGTTTGTCTTATTCCAGTTTAGGATGGGAAGAATGAAACTGCAAGGGCAGAGTTCTTAAAATAGATTGATCTGTTATTAACTTATCAGTTTTATTTTGAAATCCTTCATTCAGGATGCTCGCTGATGCCATCCTGAGAGGTGAGCATAAAATAGCTGAGGTTGGAGGGGGGACTGCTGGAGATCACCTGCTTCAGCCTATGATTGCTTCAAGCGGGGCTGACTTTGTTAGCCCAGTCTCCCGCCATGGGTGTAAAGCTGTGTAGCATGTGCAGAACCTGGCTGGCTGTATCCAGAGCTGAACGTGAGAACAGAACAAATCACTTCTGTTTAGAGTGACTGACTCTCCAGTTTCTGCAAGTAGTAACCTGTGTTGCTAGAAAATCTGAGTATTGGCGTAGTTGTCTGTAGATAGCGTAATATTCACATAGGTTTAATACAAATGAAGCCTTTAACTCTTAAGGAATAAATATTTGTCTTTACAGGAAAATATTACTCTTTGTACCTACTTGTTGTTTAATATTTGCAGCCCCGACTTCATGTCCTTAAGGCAATGTGGGCTACCAAACCACAGAACTATCCCAATCGTATTCCCAGTCACTTCGCAATTTACTGTCTTTGTTGTGAAGTGGTTCTTTGCACAGCCATGACTCTGCCTACCGCCTTTATCACTTCATGTTTAATCATCAAGAAAGCCCCTTCTTTGCAGATTAAAGCAGGACTTTAATGTAACAGACTGCCATTTGCTGTTTTACTCAAAAGCAGGTGGTAGGACACACACTGCTGCTCCTTTAAAAAGTGAATTTTTGTGTCTCTTTGGCAGCTTGCTCTGTATTCTCTCTGCAGATGAAACATCAGCATCGCTCGCTCTCTGGGCTTTTTAGAGTCTGGCTTCTGCTCCTGTGCAGTGATTTGTATCTCTGCAAAGCAAGCAAGGTTTCAGTTTTAAAGTGCATCATACTTAATGATACAGAATGAGGCAAACTGGCATAAGACATGGAATGATGGCTCAGAAGAGAAAGGGGTGGGTGTATAATTAAAATAATAATCAGAGAAGGGCTGAGGGATTTTGTGATTTTTATCTCCAGCTTTAGGTTCAGATAACTGGTAGTCTAATGTGTATTGGCTCATTCGAAGTTCTAAAACTAGGATTTATTTTTTTTTAACTGAACCTTATAATTTTTCTTTTTATTGTTAAATCAAGTTAGTCATAAAATGGAACTACTGTGTTATCATTTGCTTAATGCCATTACAGTCATCTTGCAGTAAGATGTTATTACCATTATCCTTTATTCAATTTTTGTTGGTTAATGAGATTTCATTTGAAAAGTTAGTATTGATAAAACAATGTTTACTACAGTTTTAAAATACCTCCTTTTTTGGGGAACATTTTAATTCTTTTGCCTTTTTGCTGTCTCGTATTTATCATCACAGTGTCCTTTTGTCAAGCAAGAATAGAGACTGTAGTGGGGAAAAGTAACATCTTGTGCACAGATTGCTGTTGATTACAGGGAGAATGGGAAATGAATGGGCCAGAGGCAGTTGTAATGAAAGGAGGACATACATCTTTGTAGTTACTTTAGCTTTGCCTTAGACTCCTTAATCTGTTGTGCGACTTGCATGGGTACAGCAATTTGAGAATGTAGATCTGAAGACATAGTCATTCTCAAGATACACGTAGCAGACATTTTCCAGTTTCCTGGTGTTTCCTCCTAAACAGATTTCTTCATGTCAATCTCTACATCTTGATCACTGTAAAGTAGTGGTGATGGTTGTAATCAGCGAGGCCAATAGCGGAAACCAACATGCATGTGTTTATTCTCTATGTTCACTGTGTAGCGAGTTCATAGATGATTGTAGTTCCTGGTGGGAACCACTAGATGTTGCAGTGAATGTTGTCTGCAATGCCATACTCGGAGAACTTTTGCTTGAATGTTTGCTTGTACGAAAAGAGCCCTTGTAAAGTGCTGTTTTTTTTCTGAATTGTGTTTTAGGAATCTCTTCATTCTTTAATGGCAACGCTGAGTTCTTCGAATCCTTTCTTTGTCCGTTGCATCAAACCCAACGTGCAGAAGGTAAGACTTAAAGTTGCACCTGGCTTTTCTAAATGTTTCGTCCTTTCCTGCCTATCTGGTTATTTCCTTCTGTGTGTGGCAGAAGGTAACATGCTGCCTAACATTATAAAAGGCTCTGCAAGGTGAAGGGCCTTCAGTGGAAAAGTTTTGGGGTTTTTTTCTCTTTTTTTTTGCAGGCTTTTTCTTTGGTTACTATTTTTATTTGTTTACTGTTGGTCGTGGTTCAAAACACTCTGATAAATGCCCTGTTGCAAGGATTTTTGCAAAAGGAAGGTAGAATGCTGCCCTGTGCGTTTGACAACCTAGCTAAGGGGCTTGCTTTGCAGGCACCAGGTAGCCAAAGCCACACAGAGGGGAGATCTCATCGCTGTAGAACAAAAGTTGCAAGGATTTGCTATGGTTGATGCCAGGGCCAAGTGCTTGTTGCATTATGCTGCATTTTCATAGCAAGGAAACCACTGAGTTCCCACTCCAGATTCACTGCTGCTCATATATGCAGTTATTTCCCACTGCACTGGTCCGTCCCTGCCAAATTTGGTATATGCCACTGTATCCACATGTACATTTTACTAACACCAAAAAAAATTTCTCAAGAAATTGGCTATTATGAAAGCAGACCCTGTGACGGAGCTTGCCACAGCCTCAGTTGGCCATGTCCAATTATAGGATTGGGTGGAGGAACAGATTTGGAAATTACTGTAGATTGTCACATTTAAGGTGTTTCGTTGTCAGTTAAACCTTACACAAGATGTATATCCTTGCTTTTTGTTTTAGTTTGGTTGTAAATTTCAGTTAATCCAATGGCTTTACCAAATAAGAAATCCTACTTGAAACTAGCTTGATGATGGACTAACAGAGAAAAAGTTGTGCATTTTACTTGTGATGGTGGGATCAGTAAAAGACTTGATAGGGAGTGAGAAGGAAAGGCGTTATGTAATACTTGTCAATGATATTTTCACTCAGGGAAATGTTCTCAAAATTCATTCTGGGATTTGCTGTTGTAAATTTTGTCTAGTGTGTGCTGCTATTGGTTTCCACCTCTGTTTCATAGACATTGTGTGATTTGAGTATCTTTGTGCAGTTTATAGGTAGAAATACAGTTCTGCAGCTACAAAACTGTACTTGAAATTCAGTGGAAGCAGATTAATAAGATACTAGATGGAAGAATTACTACTCATCCTGACTACAAAAACTGCAAGAAAGGATGTCTGAGTATTTCTGTGCTTGTAGCCCTCTTTCCTGCCCCAACACCTTTTCCAGTTCTTACCTTTCTAAAACCATTTTGGTTGTAGTGGGGTGATGGATACTGGATGTCGCCAGCAGTGAACGTGACCCTACTCTAGCTTTTAGTGGCAAGCTGGTGAAGGTGCTGGAATTACCCCTGGCACCCAGTGCTGGTGCAGAAGCAGAGCTGTGAGCCGCATTCAGCTCTTCCACAGCTCAGCTGGATTCCGTGGATGCAAGCTACAACTAACAACGTGCCTTTTGGTTGGCTTAATGACAGTGAGAGTGAGCTGGAATGCTCAAATATCACCCTTCAGAAAGTATTTAGCTTAAATACTGCTTGCAAAACAGTAAGTGATGCAAGTGAAAGGGCCATTGCAATTGCTTTTCTGAAAAAGGTAGCATTAAAGGAGACAAGGGAGACTGGGAGAGAGCAGAGGTTGTGTCATGAGGAGCAAAGCTTCCCAAGCTGCTCGTTGTCCTCCGGATTGGACATAAATAGGTGACACACCTATCATTGAGTATCCTTTTAATTCTGGAGGGGAAGAAAAGGTGGTGCCCGAGAGCTGTTTTACTTTATAAGCGTGTTTGAATTCGGTAAGTGAACGAGGTTGAACAAATGGAAGACAAATTCAAAGCTTTGAAAGGCAGGGTGCCCAGCAGACTTCCTCTGCTCTGCTAGACATTAAATTTTATTCATGTCGGATAAGAGATATGATAATTTGCAGAAACTACTTGATTTTTACTTGATCAAAAGTTTAATTTTGAAATATGTTAAAGCGGCAAGCAAAAACAATTTGCCATATGCAGTAAGCCACCAGACATTTACATATCAAAGCAGGATCTACACTCATTAGAGCAATTTCCTAAAGGGAGCACATAGAGTACATGACCTTTTGTCACAAGGCATTTCGGCGAACAGGCCTCAGACGGAGGAACAGAGGTCCCATTAATCGTTGGTAGACCCCCAAACAATCAGTGGATCTGTGTGCCCAGTTTCCAGGCTGTTCTGAACTAGCCATAAAGCTGAAACTGCCTCACTTGGTATGCTTAATGAGTATTTTCTGCTAATGAAGGATCTTTCTTCTCTCTTCCCCTTAGCTTCAATGCAGTATTCAGAACTGTGTATCATTTCATCCTGGTGAACTCTGACACAACTTTTCTCTGTTCTTCTCCTCATGTTTCTTTTCCTGCCTGCTAGTCTGTCTCATAATGCTCCCTGCACCAAGACCTTGCTTCTTGCTTTCACGCTGTCCTCCTCCTCTTTGTTTGTGCAACTTAAGGAGGAAAAAAGAGAAGCATATTGTAAAATAAGTTACAACCCATTTTAGAAGCATTCAGATGATTGTTTCTTCCAGCTTTCGATAAAGTTGTTAATCCTTTCTCCACTTGGAGAGTGTTCAGGGTAAATTTAAAATGTGAACAGTCTGTGCTAGCTGTTTCAGAAGCAGAAATCGTTTTGGTCAGGAGGAGTTAACCTCAGGCAGGAGCAAGTTCCCTTCTCCATTTAGACTCTTTCTTTAGAATCTTAATAATGGCACAAGCTCTGTGAATGTCCCTCCCTGCCTCACCGCTGCGTCCGCATTTTTGTTTAGCATGGCCTTTTCTGTGCTATTCTGTATTGATTATTGCGACTTGCTTCCGGAATTCCCTGCCCTCTAACTTAAGCAGTTTCAGAATACTGCTATTTTCTCGTGCATGTAGAGACCATACCAGTATGGTCACTTAAGGAGGCCCAGACCTAATAGCAATGTGGTCCTGCTGGGTAAAATCCTGGCTTCATTAGAGTTGGCATGGACTTTATGATATTATGCTTACTTTTTTTTTTTTTTTAAGAAACCTGTGTTTTTATGTATCATCAGAACAGTTTTTTTTTTTTCTGTGCCTCCACTCACCTCCCTTTCTATACATTTATCATTGGTGTCGTTCTTCTGTTGCAGTGACAGTCTTGCCGCTGGCAAGATGAAAACCTTCTTGAAGCTTTTGATCTCTGAAAGGGCAATTCTGTTTCTCTGCAGTTATTTTTATATATATTTTTTTAATCTTACAGTTTAATTCCTTCAGGTGGAGAAATGAGACAAAACTAAAGCTGTATTGTAAACCTACTGCAGGGGAGAGGGTCACAAGGAGCGACAGAAAGAGTAAAACTAGTAATAACTTTGCAATTCAAAGAAAGGCTGGTAGGAATCAGTCTGTAATAGATCCTGTGAGACTTATTGCTGCTTAGGTGTAAGACCTGTCATCACAATGCTTATTTATTCTGGGAAAATTGCTGTTGAAGCAGTAAGATTACTAACATAGCTGCCAGGGCCACAGGTAGCTAAGGGGATCAAGGTATGGCTATTGGCACCTGCTATGTGCTTTGAGGCCTAGGTCATTAGTAGCCATGACGCACCTTGGAACAGCAAACAGTGCATCCCCTAATATGAAGGAGGATGCAAACCTGTGGTGCTTGGCGTCTGACATAAAACTGTGCTCCTGAAATACCTCTGAAGTGTTATAAACATGAGCGTAGTTTGATAACAGCCTCAGCACCAATTAGGCATATAGCTCCAGAGCATGGTACAAAGGGACAGTGAAAGAGCAGCTCCGTCCCCTCTGCAACGATGGTTGCACTTAGGGTGTGCCGCAAATTCCGTGAATGAAATTTGGGAACTGGCAGTTGAGCTGGAATTACAATGTCGGTGTTTTGAGCTTTGAAAATACGAATTACTGAGTTTGCCTTCTAGAGTGATCTTGGTAAAAACATGCGTTAAAAAAACATGGTAAAAACAGCTTCACTTTTTTTATGCACATCCTGCTACAGTGCTACCCAACACATGCTTCATACACCAGTCCCAGTCAGGGGAGTAGATGCCTTTGTGAGCTTTAGAAGTGGCAAAACCCAACTGGGAAAAGCTAAAAAATGTGTTAGACCCTGAGAGGAAGGATCTTTATGGTTTACTTGGTGGTAGAGCCCAAGGGTAACCCTTCTCCAGTGAAGCTACAATCTTCTTTGAGTCTGGGAGCTGGCAGGTCACAGGGAAAACTCGACTGGTTATGTAAAAGGAAAAGGGAATGGAAAGCCTGATGGCCATCGAAACAGCTTCTCTGTAATACATTGAAAGTAAAGAGAGCAGATTATATGGTTCAGGTACAACTACTGGTTGGATGTGTAGAAAGGAAAGGTCTAGTAGCATTCACCAACAGGTTTATAACCACTCACACATGAGCAGCAGTAGCTCACTGTCTATTTAAAAATCTCTCTTTATCTCAATTGTTCTCAGCAAATACTTGTTTTAAGCAGGCGGACAGCCAGTCGCTGCTGTCATTGCTTGCAGAGGAAGCAGAGCCCCAGGTCCTGAGGCCAGGAGCAGGACTGCTGTGAGAGAGGGTCTGTGAAGGGCCCAGGGAGCTGTGCTTCAGGCTCATCCTTCTGAGGGTGACAACCATGTCCAAAGAAAGCTTGTTTGCCCACTTGTGCATCTTGTGGCACAAATGCATGGGGCCAAACATAAACTGTTTATTCTTGGATCTTTAATTAGTGCGTAAGACTTTACTGCTCTTGATCAGGAAGGCACTGCCGTAAGGTGCGGTGTCTTCCCAGCTGACACTGCTTAATTCAGCTACCTGGATCTTGTTGCCTTGGGTTTTACAGAATTGCATAGCTTCAAATTGGGACTCAGGGCGTGCGTCCCAGCTGCATCATTTTCTGGCACCTCACTTGAGTAATTGGGTCAGGCACTCAAAAACTCCCTACGTGGAAATGATGAAGACTGTGGCTGGGAGGACAGGAG